TTATTTATTTGAGAAACAGAGAGTACACACAAGTAGGAGAGAGGGCGGGGCGGGGGGGGAGGAAAGAGGGAGAGGAAAAGAGAGAATCGTAAGCAGGCCCCATGCTCAGTGCAGAGCCTGATGCGAGGCTCTGTCCTGTGATCCTGGGGTCACAACCTGAGTCAAAATCAAGAGTCAGACATTCAAGGAACTGAGTCACCCAAGTGCCCCTCAAATAGCCTGATGCGAGGCTCTGTCCTGTGATCCTGGGGTCACAACCTGAGTCAAAATCAAGAGTCAGAAATTCAAGGAACTGAGTCACCCAAGTGCCCCTCAAATACATTTAAATATGTGACTTTATAATCTTATTTTTAAAAATTTATTGATTTATCTTTAGGGAAACTAGCTCATTATTTTGAAAATTGATAAATAAAAAGAAAGAATCAAGCACTGTGTTGCTTTTCCTATACAAACTGTATCTCAAGGTAACTAAGTTTCTCTTTATAGAAATAGTCCAGCTAATAAATAAAGAAGGAATGACAGAATTATATTATCATTATTCTGAAACCTCTAATGAAATCATAGGCCTAGGCATTGATCATCAACTCCGCTAACATCACAAAGACAACCAGACACTAGATGCCTCTTGATAGAAGTCCATAACTTCACCTATGAAGACCTATGAAGTATTTCTTGCCACATACACACACACACACACACACACACACACACACACACACACACACGAATCCTGAATCTGATTGAGTTTCTAGGTCTCACTACCAATTTACAGGAAATACAGAGGACAGAAGAACACAGGAAGCAACACTACAGGGATACAGTGGGCAGAATCCAGACTTTGGAAAACTTCATGAAGATAAATACTCTGATCTTCAATAAATAACTATTTAGAAATGAAGGGCAGAACCATAGGTTAAAGAGACAAAAGACCCATCAACCAATCACAATGTGTAAACCTTTTTTGAATTTTGATTCAAACAAGTTTTAAAAATTATGAGACAGTTGGGAAATTTTGAACTATGACTGAAGAGTTGATTATTTATAATTTTTAGGTATGATAATATGATATATTGATTATGTAATTTAATGGTTATATTTTAGAGATACATACAATATATTTATCGATGGAATGGTATGTAGTATGATGCTGGAACTTACCTCAAAGTAATCTGTGAACAGTGGGGATGGATGGTGATTAGAGATGAAATAAAAGTGGACACTAGTTGAACTTGACTCTGTGTACAAACTGTACACTTCACTTGGAGAGATGGGCACAGTGAAGTTCATCACACTTTTCAGTTTTTGAAACTGTTTAAAATATTTGCACAATAAAAAGTTTTTTTATAGTAGTAAGAAAAAGAGTGAAACAGGATATATACTGCATGACTAATGTAAATTTAAAATATAAACACCAAGAGGCACCTGGGTGGCTCAGCGGGTCAAGTGTCTGACTCTTGATTTCAGCTCAGGTTATGATCTCAAAAAATGAAGCGCCACATTCAGCTCTGCACTGACAGCATGGAGACTGCTTGGGATTCTCTCTCTCCCTCTCTTTCTATGCCCCTCCCCCCTAAAAAATAAATATAAACACCAAAAAATAATAATACAAACAAAATGACATATGTCAAGCATATTAGAATGGTTGCCATTAGGAAGATTGGGGAATGGGCATAGAGGATAAAATTAAAGGGTATAAAAATAACTGAACCAATAAAGAGAACTACACTGAACAACAATGAAGTGTCGGTAACTCAACCCTCTCCCTCTGAGGTCAAAGAATGTTATTTCACATATTTGTGAGGATTCAATGAGGTACATGGGTATTATTACTAGCATAGTGCCTAGCATATCAGAAGTCATAGTAAATATTAATTTCCCTCCATTCTCTCTACCCGCCACCTTCTCCTTGCCCTGCCAAGAAATAAAAGTGATCAGATAAGTAAATTCACTTTAAGATACTAAGCTCTGTTAACAACTTCGTGTTTCCTCAGGAGAGGCTTTCCAGACTGGCTAATTCTTAAGAAATTAATCCTAAATAAGTGAAATTCCTGCATACCACCAAAATCTCCATTTCCTTCATGCCATGCCCTAAAACAAGAAGGCCAACAGTGTCCAAGACAAGGATGATTCCAGGAGGGCTCAGATAGGCCCACAGGCCCATAACTCTTCAGAGTGGTATTCTGGGTTTACTTCCATCCCCAATCTTCTAAATTGAACATATCAACACTAACAAGCACACCATCTGCTAGCTCCTCTCAGGAATCGGAGAACTCCAGGTTGTAGCTTGATCTCAGATGAGCATCAAAGTGAAATATTTATGTGCTGAGCTTTGCTCTCCATCTAGCTGGAAAGATTTCCACTCCATGCCCCACCCCAATCACCGCCAGAAACCAACCTCTACCATTTCTCCCTCTCTGCCTCTATGGCCATGACTGCCATGTTCCTTCCAAGCCATATATAAACTTTTAATTCAAAATTATGTTCTGGGTGACTGGCTCACTGGGGATCATCCAGAGGTTGCCAACTACTCAGCCAATAAATTTGAGGCCCAGCAATTGACTTGGAGTCAGTGGCGCCTGACAACTGCTGGGTAGCTGAAGGTGAAAAGAAGCAGAATTCTACATTGGTTTATAATAGATAAATGTGCCTGGTTAATCTCATAGGAGCTATTAGAGTGAAAAGCAATCAATTAGCAGTGCTCCTGGCTGCAGCTTGGCCCCAACAGGTCAAAATTAAGGTCAGTTGTAATCAGAGGGAAGGACATTTTGCCATCCGAATAAAGGCTAGCCAATCAGTGTACATGTATTTATCTAGCACGTTCCATAGAAAACAATAAGAGTCACTCACTCTAAGAAACCTCTGCACTCAAAACTATAATGGGGCACCTGGGTGGTTCAGTCATTTGGGCTTCCTACTCTTAAATTTGGCTCAGGTCAAGATCCCAGGGTGATGGGATCAAGCCCCACACCAGGCTCCACACTGAGCCTGGAGCCTGCTTAACATTCTCTCTCTCTCCCTCTGCCCTTCCCCACTCCCATCACTCATTCTTTCTCTCTCTCTCTCTCTCAAACAAAACTGTAATAATCTTGTGAGAGATATAATATAGAAAATTGTACAGAACAATGTGAGACAGTACAACCAAGTAACCATACACCTACTCAGCATCCAACTCTGTCTGGAATTACTTCTCCCCGCTTTATTAGTAAGCCTGAATTCTACAAGTACCTGAATGCCATTACCTACACAGAATCTTCCTCTGATGACTTACCTTGGTACTCACTTTTCTGGCACTACCCGTCTATGGTAGCAGCCTGGGAGCCCCAGATTCACTGGGCTTCCTGCTCTCTGGAGCCAGTCCTACCCTAAGACAACTCCTCATATTTTAGAGAGGAAGATGAGAGAGGAGTCAAGGTGGCTTCTGAAGGCGTCTCCACAGTGGGGTGGGAAATGGATGAATTCCTCTCGACAGCTCCTTGCTTCTTGAATCCAGTGCTATTTTGAGCAGATGCCCCTGTGCACATTATCAGGAGCACGTAACTAACAAAATCACCCAGGAATGTGGGCAAGAAGCTTTGCCTTCTACCACTGGACACAGACTATATCCTAAATCATGAATCCCTCAAGGGACTCAGGATTAGAATCCCTCAGGTTAGGATTAGACTGTGCCGTATCTGGACCACCGAGCCACATTTGTATTGTTGGGAACAATGTTGGAATCACACAGCTCACAGGTCTAATATCTGTCACAAACTGCTCCTAGATTCATTCTTCTCTCCCCTCGTTCCAAGCCTTCTGAGCAAGCAAATGAGGGCTTTCAGCTGTAAGTGATTGAGTTACCTAACCAAACTGACTAGAAAAGGGTGGAAGCAAACAAAACACAAGCTAAGATTTGAATTTAGCCAAAGGAATTGTACAGCAGGGAATGGCTTTTCAACCTGAGAAAGCTGAAGGTAGATGTTCAGAAAATTAACTTGGGCATTTTTTATGCATCAAGGGCTCACTGTTAGCAAAAAAGGCTTGGAATCTTGGTCAGGACACTGTCTCTAAAGAGACAAATGTCTTTGACAATTCTCTCAAAGCTGAGAGAATTCGGGACACGGCATGGGTGCATGACACAGATCATGAATCTGGCCGTCTCCATGCTCAGCTATCTTGTCTTTGAATGCCATGATGAAGCACAGCTCAAGGACAAAGATCTCATATTTAAAAGTCCATTACTTAGGATACCACTGTACCAGTTGGCATTGCTGTTGCTTTCGACTCAACACTCCCATCCCCGCCTTCCCCCAACCCTCTCCCCAGTCCAAACATGACCATGGCCTTCTCCTGGTCAACTCCACCACCATCATCTTGAGGGCTCAGCGTAGCTGAAGAAAGTGAAGCCAGCCAGAGGGTCAACAGGGGAAGGAAAATACAACTGAAAGCAGAAGAGGTTGGTATCATGGGCCACGTGTACATATGTGGCCACAACACCCCTACTGTCATTTTGGTAAGAGACCTGGGTTGGTTTGGGGTCCATAGAGCACCTGTGTATTTTATATACTTATATGTACATATTTATGTATTATTTTAATATATTTCATGTATATAGTAATGCTTTATGCTATTTATGTGAATCTGGGTTTATCAAGCCAGATTGGATGAAGAGGAATCAAGGTTTTAGGGGGAGCCCTCAAGTTTCAAGTAGGGAAGTTCAATGCCAGAGGGAGGAAAAGTTGCCAGAAGGACTGAAGAAGGCTGACATTGCTGGGAAATCATGCCCTTTCTCTGGTCTGTAGGGATCTGTCTCTATTTCTCCCCTGCCTGCTCCTGTCCCCACACCCCCAGCCCCTACTTCTCTAGAGCTCCCAAGTCATTCTGTCTCTTCCTGCACTGTTACTTCTCCTTCACACACACACACAATCTATCACCAGTCCACCATTGTTATTGACTTCATTGTCACTGGTTTTTTAGGTTGCCAGTTGAGAGGTTCTTTTTATGTAAAACAAATGTTGGTAAATCATCACATTTTCCCATTGACTTCCATTGCTATTTCAGAAGTAAGATCCCACAAAGGAGAAAACCTTGGCATACACAGTAAAAACCACAGATGGAAGCTACTATATCCTTCAAAGAATATTCTGTCTTTGACTGAGTATGATTTATGAGTATGCGATTCTCCCCCTGGACATCTGCAAGAAAAGTTAGGCAAACAGGCAATCAATTTGAGTACTCCATGTTAAAAGTCTATTTATTATTTATTAACCACCTTTCTTGATTGATTGGCTTCCGTTTTATTGGTTTTTCTCAATGACCCAGTGTAAATTGACTACTTAATCATTCACACTTGTAATCATTGGTCCAGACATTCAATGGAAACTGCCTGTAAGCTCGCCGGACAACACCTGTTAGGAACAGTTCCTCAGTAATCTCCTTTCTTCTTCGTGGTCACTGTGTCCTGATCTGTCCTACACTCCTCCGCCCCTTCCTGACTCCCCTGATCATGAGACAGCCCTCTCTAGACTGACCTTGGCCTCCTTCTCAGCTGTAAGTCATATTTACTTCCTTAATTATAACTACTTCTGCCCACTTCCTGCCCCGAGTTTCTGCTGAGCATAGCCTCTTCCACCTGCTTGCTCTGAGGTCCATGCATTCATTTATTTGTCAAATGCTCCGAGCAGAATATTAAAAAGTTATTGTTCTTTGAAGCCATATGTTAGCATGGTGCTAGTAGCCTGTGGCTTATGACTTTTTGGCTTTCGTCTTTCTTTTTTTCTTTTTTTAATGTTTATTCTTGAGAGAGACAGAGTGCATGCAGGGGAGGGGCAGAGAGAGCGGGAGACACATGATCCAAAGCAGGCTCTAGGCTCTGAGCTGTCAGCACAGAGCCCAACGCGGGGCTACAACCCACAAAGGATGAGATCATGACCTGAGCTGAAGTCGGACACTTAACCAACGGAGCCACCCAGGCGCCCCTGGTTCTAGCCTTTCTAAGCAGGAATATACAGTCTTCAGGTTTGGGGTTTTGGGTTGTTGGTTTTTTTTTTTTTAAGTCCAATATGACAGGAACATTGGAAGTTCTGTCATCTGTGCAGTACATTCCTGCCCTGAATTATCAGATGTGCAAGAGCAGCACATCCCAACAATCTGTTGCTAAAATCTAACCTCCTTAAAACCCAAGGGGTGTCTTGGTGGCTCAGTCAGTTGAGCATCTGACTTCGGCTCAGGTCATGATCTCATGGTTCGTGGGTTTAAGCCTTGTGTCAGGCTCTGTGCTGACATCTCAGAGCCTCGAGCCTGCTTCGGATTCTGTGTCTCCCTCTCTGTCTGCCTCCCCCACTCAGAAACTCTCTCTCTTAAAAATAAATAAACGTTAAAAAAATAAAAAAATAAAAAACTCAGGCATCACAGCATCTAAAATTCCACATGGAAAGGAATGTGAATCTGTTCTCGACCATACAACAGCCAGAGACCAGGTCATCAAAATAGAAGCATACTTACTTACACCTAAAGTTTTACTAAACAATCCTTATCTCTACATGAGATGTGCTTTGATATCTATTCTATTCCATTTCAGTTGTAAAAACGGTTTCACCCATTCAGCTGATTTTACAGCTGGGTTGCATCCCACAGTTTGTAAAAACACTGCTTCCCTCAGTCTGGCTGAAGCATTAAAGCCAGATAATGTTGCCAGTTGACAGGCTGGGAGTCAAGTGGGGAACCACTGGCGACCTGGGCCAAATCCCTGCTCTTCTCCTGCCTCGAGGACAGTGGACGACAAACCACTTAGCCTCGCTGTGACTCATTTTCCATCTTGAATCCTCACAGGCCTATCAGAGGGATCGAATGAGATGAAAGATGTGAAAACACTTTGAAAATATTAACGTACCATTCAACTCCAAGGGGGAGGCGGGCGTCACTGAGGAGGACGTGTCAGAATAACCAGCTAGTTTCCACAGGCTGTTTCTCCACAACTCAGCTCGGTTCCTTGGAGCTCTGGTAGCGGTGGAAGACGGCCAGAACCTAGTGATGAAACCAAGAAGAGGGAAGAAGTGAAGGAGACTGACAAATCCTGAAACAAGCATCACTTCGTTGGCCGGTGATTTACACCCAGCCACTGAGAGCCAGTGGCTCCGTGCCTTCCTCCAAGAGGCATTGCAAAATTCATACAATACAATTTATATACAGAGACATATATAGCATGATATGTAATATATAGTGTATATATGCTAATATATACTATATAATATGTAGTACAATATTATACGTGTGTTAGTATATAGTACATGTGTGTGTGTGTGTGTGTGTGTGTGTACACACACACATATTCTAATTCTCAGAGGCTCTGTTGCCAAATTTCCTCACAGTGTCCTGGAGCTAAGCTGCTTCCCTCTCGTTCATGATTCAGAAGCTCTCAAGAACACTGTTATTTTGTCAGAGAGAACTCTCCCAGCATATGCAAGATGGATCTTGGCACATTTTCCGTATTATTTGATCTGACTCCCGCCGTCGATCAAAGAGCACTTCTTTTTTTTTTTTTTTTAATGTTTTATTTCTAGGAGAGAGACAGAGACAGAGAGAGACAGCGTGAGCAGGGGAGGCTCAGAGAGAGAGGGAGTCACAGACTGAAACAGGCTCCAGGCTCTGAGCTGGCAGTCAGCACAGAGCCCGACGCGGGGCTCGAACCCACGAACCGCGAGACCATGACCTAAGCGAAAGTCGGACGCCTAACCAACTAAGCCACCCAGGTGCCCCCAAAGAGCACTTCTAACTGAGCCAGATGATTCAGCAATCTAGAAGCCATTAGCCACAGTTTATAGAAGACTTCTGAGAAGCAATTCCTATCCCAACAAGACTTCTAGCTGAATTTCCCTTTACCCTGGAGATGTTAAACTCAAGTGCCTAGGAGAAGGCAGCACATTCCATAGATGAGGAGAAGGGGAACATGGGTAGGAATGTATTCATCACCGTGGAGTGCTGGGACCACATCCAGCCGGTATGCCATCTAAAGGGGGCAGCTGATCCCCAAATCAGCTGATCATTGGCCTATATTGCAGATTTTCCCCTGCTCCAAAAGAAGTAAAAAAAAAAAAAATCTAGGTTCTTACGTAAAAATTTCCCGATTCTTAAATAATCACTCAATTTTTTTTTTGTTTACTTATTTTTGAGAGAGAGAAGCATAGCACAAGTGGGGCAGGGGCAGAGAGAGAGGGAGACACAGAATCTGAAGCAGGCTCCAGGCTCTGGCGCCATCAGCAACAAGCCCTACATGGGGCTCGAACCCACAAACCGTGAAATCATAACCTGAGCCAAAGTCAGACGCTTAACTGACTAAGCCACCCAGGTGCCCCTTAAGACATATATATCAAAGATTCAGCCTATGAACATCAATGAATGGCATGTTCTTCTTTTCTTTTTCAAAAAAAAAAAAAAAAAACAAGTGATTTTTTTCTACTACAATATCTCATTAAATGGGAAGAATTCAAAATAAAAGTGAAATTCATCTAGTGTTATCTTTAGACTTTCAAACAATTTTGGTCCACATCCTCTAAGAAACAGAGCCCGAGGCAAGAATTAAGACATTTACACTCTATTGGGGGGATAGTATCTGCGGACTTTAAGAATGAGGAAAAGGGGAAAGGATCAGAGGAATGAGGAACATTACAGAGTGCTGCCTCTGTTCACCACAAGCCACAGAGACACAACAGGACACCAGGCAGGTGGATTCACTTCACATGTGAAGACACAAGGTCGGCTACAAGGAGAAACTGACCCTCAAGAACAGTGGATGGAAGCTTATCTGCCACTTCCTTACTTTGCACCTTCAATGCCTTACTCAACTCTGCCTAGCAAGGACCTGTCTCACTCCTATCTCCTGTTTCCCATGAGTCAATGTTTACCCCACAGGGTGACCCTCCCCTCCACTTGCAGATACCAGACTCCGTAACTACAGTGGTGCTTCTGTTTATCCAAGTCCAAAAGTGGCAGGAAGAACCAGAAAACTTCAGACCCATGGCTGGCTGGCCCAGCTGCAGAGCACAGGGAAGAGGAGGGCCCAGCTCTCTCAGGGCAGATGACTGGTTGGCCCTGGTGCTGGCTACAGTATGGTCCAGGAGGTGGTTGGTGCCTTCAGAAAAAAAGGAGGCAATTGAGAGAATCTAAGAGTATAGATAGGCATAGAATACATGGACACAGGGGTGCCTGGGTGGCTTAGTCGGTTAAGCGTCCGACTTTCACTTAGGTCATGATCTCGCGGTTCGTGGGTTCGAGCCCCGCGTCAGGCTCTGTGCTGACTGCCAGCTCGGAGCCTGGAGCCTATTTCAGAGTCTGTATCTCCCTCTCTCTCTGACCCTGCCCTGCTCACGCTGTCTCTCTCTCTCTTAGAAATAAATAAAAATACTTAAAAAAAAAAAAAAAGAATACATGGACACAGTCAAACCATAGCTATACTCAGAACCATTAAGGGGCACCTGGGTGGCTCAGTAGGTTAAGAGTCCGACTTTGGCTCAGATCATGATCTTGCAGTTCACAAGTTCAAGTTCTGTGTCAGGCTCTGTGCAGACAGCTCAGAGCCTGGAACCTGCTTCGGATTCTGTGTCTCCCTCTCTCTCTGCCCCTCCTCTGTTTAAACTCTCTCTCTCTCTCTCTCTCTCTCTCAAAAATAAATAAAGCATTAAAAATATTTTTTAAAAAGAATCGTTAAGTTAGTTCAAACATTGAAAAAAAGGAAATAAACCCACAAATTCCAATATCAGAAATGAGAGAGGGGACATCACTACAGATGCTGCAGACAGTAAAAGAATAACAAGGAAATGTTAGGGCAACAATTACGTCAATAAATACAACGTGGATGAAACAGACACATTCCTGGAAACAATGACTAAGTCGACATGGCTCATGGCTAGAGAACAAACCTGAAACTCACAGTTTCCACTTACTCAAAATCATTCAAATCAGAACATTCATAAATTTACAAAGCCTACTAATTTAATATCAAATAGCAAAATTCTTTAACTTCAAATGGAAGCTTACCTGCCAGGCTTAACATGAATACAGAAAAAGGGTTAATAAAGCCAGTCAAGATTGAGTGGGTGAGACAAATCTGAAGAAGAAACTAAGAACGCCAGGCCCATGTTCCCACTGCTCCAGAAAGCTTAATCCAGAAAAACACCGTCAGGAGAGCTGGTTGCCAGGTGTCTTACACCCAAAATGGCACAATTAGATGCCTCCAGGGGTCAGAAAACAGCCAACTCAACAGAGGCAACCTCATGGTTCCAGATTTTCTGCATCATTATTTGAAATCCCCCAATGTTTAAATGTTGGCCCAAATTAAAAATAATAATAGCATATATATTGTGTGCACCAGACAAAACACAACAGCAAGCCAGATACAGTCTGTAATCTGGCAGCTTGAGGCCTTACTTCTAGTTTGCTTTTCGGAGGTAAGGTGCAGAGAAGGGAGGCTGGGAGGGGGTTTTGTTTGTTTGGTTGGTTGGTTTCCTATTTTAAAGGGCTGGAAAATCAAGTCCTGGAAATTTTCTCCTTTTTTATGACCCCTGCAGGATGAGGAACTGGGAAACAAAGGGAAACAACCACGGGTAGGCATTCTGGCTCTTCCTCCATCCTGTCCCCCAATCCCCCACTCCCAGGATCCAGCAGATAAGGAGCTAAATCCTGAGATTTGAAGAGGTTGGGTTTCTTCTCTCCCCTTCATGCTACTGTCAACCTTACTGTCCCTGTCCTCAGTTTTTGGAACAGTGGTGATTTTGTTTACTGCTGTTTCCATATGGCTGAGCAACGTGGGGCGGGGGGAGGGCGTAAACACCAAGGGTTCATTTTACCGTGATAAGACGCTATCCTGTGTCAGGAAACACAATGAAAAGCAAATGTGCGTAGAGATTCCTGAGAAGAGAGGAGAGTAATTCCAGCCCCCGAGCCCAGGCACTGGAGCGCACAGCTCCTGCCGTCTTCCAAGTTTGGCTGTCACGGCCACCTGTTCAAGTTCCAATGAGCCAACCTGAGGTAGCCGGCACCATCTCAGGGAGACGCTTCAAATGGGCAGAGAACTCCATGGAGAATGCCTGGCAGTAATGAGCCATCTCCCACCAGCACCCGGCCTCCCAGCGGCAAGAGAACTTTCCAGAACCACACTGATGCACAGTGGCGATAGTGCAAGCCATGGAATGAAAGGTGCTCTGGGGGACGAGGGCCACAGGCCGTCCCTACATCCCGCCACCTGTCAGAAAGGGGGGTGAACACTCGAACACTCAGGAGCGAGAGGGGGTAAAAGCACAGGCAGGAGCCCAGCAGGAGGCAGACAGATGCCGACAAAATGTCCTCAAAAGCTACTCTCCCAATGCACTTGGGTCGGCTTGGCCAAGCTCCCCACGGATTCAGACCCACTCCCCATGGGGCTGCCCTGAGCAGGTCAGGCCCCACTTCCACATCCTTTGTGCATCTCCATGCGGCCTCCATGTGACCTCCAGCCACAACTGTCCCCAATAACAATCAGTAAGCTGGTAGCAGAACAGTCTCTTCACAGCCGCTCAAGCAGAAAGCAGAAGGTTTCCAAGGCGTCCTGCTGCTCTCCAGGCCCCCTGGGTGACTTCATCTCCCCCGGGGATCCACGGAGGGAGGAGGGATAGGCTGAATGGCTAACCAGAGCTGGGACTTTCACAAACCCCACCTACCTGCACCAGGGGGACATGAGGAGGGCGTAGCCTCACCGTAAAGGCTAACGTGGAGCCCAGGGGGTTCCTGGGGACTGTGGGTGGCCTCAGGTGCTGGGAAAGAAAAGAACAAAAGAGCCCCCCCAACACATGCATACCATCCCCCTGACAACCTGGAGGCCGACTCTCCCCTGAATTAGGGAGCCTTTGTTCCCCATGGTCTTCTCTGGAAAGATAAGAGAGACCACTCAGAGAATGGGAACAAGCAAAGAAGTATCCCTAGTGATCTAAAGGTCTCCCCAAGGGGCTCCTGGGTGGCTCAGTTGGTTAAGCGTCCGACTTCTGCTCAGGTCATGATCTCATCGTCCATGAGTTCGAGCCCCACATTGCGCTCTGTGCTGACAGCTCAGAGCCTGGAGCCTGCTTTGGTTTGTGTCTCCCTCTCTCTCTGCCCCTTCCCTGCTCATACTCTGTCTCTCTCTGTCTCTCAAAAATAAATAAATGTTTTAAAAAAATGTAAAGGTCTCCCCAAATTCTACAATAAGTTTTGCCTCGAGACAACTGGGTGACTCAGTCAGTTGAGCATCTGACTCTTGATTTCGGCTCAGGTCATGATCTCACAGTTCATGAGATTGAGCCCTACATTAGGCTCTGCACTGAGCGTGCAGCCTGCTTGGGATTCTCTCTCCTCTCTCTCTTCCCCTCCCCCGATTGTTTTCTCTCTCTGCCTCTCTCTTTCTCTCTCTCCTTCTATTTCTCTTTCTAAAAAAAAACAAAAAAAAGTTTTGCCAGAATCATAGAAATAAGTATTTATAAAGAGAAAAGTATCAAAATCACGGCAAATAATAATACCTCACATGTACAGAGTGCCAGGTGCTGTTTCAAGTGCTTGCATGTGTGAACTCTTCATATCCCCACAGCCATCCTATATGTTAGGTACTTTCACAGCTCCTAGTTTGCTAATGAGGAAACTGGAGCACAGAAGGGTTAAGTGACTTGCCCATGGTCACGCAGCTAATAAGTGTCAGAGCTGGAATTTGAACCTAAACCACCTGAGCCTCTACACCCAGCTTCCTCTCGATGCTACAAATAATAGTAACAAAGACAAAGAGCGTGTTCTCATGAGCAAAGTGTGTTCGCTCATTTATTATTCCAAAAATTATTTCTGTTTGGCACCCACCAAATGCAGGTCCCAGAGACAGAGCGGGGTGAACAAGTGATACCCAATTTCTGTCCTTATGGTTCCTTTCCTGGAGCAGCGGAATCAGATCAAGTCAGCGCTCCTGAAGTTAAATGTATCAGAGCAGCAGTAAGCACGATAAAGGGAACAGACATTTAGAGAGAAGGCATCACTCTCTAAAACAAATATGACTTCCCTCATTTTACAGATGGGGAAATGGGGATTTCAGAGTGAAATGCGATTTAACAAAAAGAACGCACTGATTTTAAATATTTTTTAAATGTCATTTACTTGTGAGTAGGTAGCCAGTATCCACATGATTTGACATTTGAAAGATTCTGAACGGTAAACGGAAAGAGCCTCCTTCCCACCTGGCCTCCTAGGACCCCTCCGGAAGCAATCAATGCTGGGTCTCCTGCCAGAGACATACAAAAGCAATCAAACACACACACTTTCTTTACACAAGTTATAGCACACTGCACACACAGTTCCGCCCCTAGGGGTTTTTTTTCTCTAACAAATAAATATGCAGCCCGCTTCATTTTCCATGGCTCCCTGGGAGTTCACTGCACGGCATCCCACACCTGCTTTAGCCAGGCCCCTACTGATGGTCATTTAGGTGATTTCCAATCATTTACAAGCATAGAACATGCTGCTGGGACCCTTCAACTATATAAACCATTTCACACAAGTGCGGGTGTAGCTGCGTGGTAACCTCCCAGAAGTAGACTTACTGGGCATGTGGCCATGTGCATCTGTAATTTTTGATGGACATTAACCACATTGTACGCCACTGAGAGGTCCCCAATTGACACTCGCCTGGCGGTGGATAGAGTGGCTACCTCACCACACCCCAACACAGTGAAGACACACTGGAGACTCAAGTGAGTCGGGAGCCCGTTCCACCGAGGGCTTGGGCAGACTTCTCGACCTCACAAGAAGAGTGGGCTTAGCGGTGACCCTGCCTGTGCTGCTGGAGTGTCTAACACGTGGCCTTTTAGAGCCAAGGTGAGAAGTACTACAACTCCCCCAGGGAAGCAGCTCACAAGACATGTCCCCAAGGCCAACTGCACTGAGCTTGATGCCAGATAGGACACCTCAAAGAAGACACCAGCAAGGCAGCTCAGGCTCTGAAGCTGGACAGGCCACTGTACAAGTTGCGTGACCTTGAGCAACCTGCTGACTCTCTTCCTTCCTCCTCCCAAAGAAGAGTCACACAGCAGAGGCTCAAACCCCGGTCATGGTCACGGGGCAGACCCAGGGGCACCTACTCATTCCGGAACACACAAGTGCCTCTCCCCCGTGACTGCCTGGGCTCTCTGCCAAGGGCGAGGAGCCCACTCCATCCTTGAATGTGGGACAGCCCTGAAGCAATGCGGGACAGGAGCTGGTGACAGAGAAGGCAGCTTCTCTGCCCCCGAGGAGGCTGGTGGGGGCTTCCAGAGGTCATCAGGGGCACGATGTCCCAAGTGCCCACAGCAACAGCGGCTTCCCAGCTGCTCTCGGGGGTCACTCCCTTTCTCTCTCACACACCCCCGAATTCTGCCCCCCCACCTCGAATAAACCATTAGACTCCAGTTCCTTCTGAGGGACCCCAACCTAAGACAGTTGTTATCACTGAGGCCGGGCTAAACCGACAAATGAGGGGTGAGCAGCGGTCAGCACAGAGATGTGCAGATGAGACACACACACACACACACCTGACCAGGCCAGATCTTGTGGCTCTCAGGTTCCAGAACAGCATCTATTTACACATTGGTCATAGATGTGTAAGGCCTTAGAAATAAATAAAACATTTAAAAAAATAAAAAAATAAATAAAAAAAAGAAGCCCACCAAGGTCCTGACAGCAGGCTTGAGGTGGGCAGCAAGTCCCGGGGCGTTTCAATGTTTTATTTATTTCTAGGAGAGAGAGAGAGAGAGAGAGAGCGTGAGCAGGGGAGGGTCAGAGAGACAGGGAGTCACAGACTGAAACAGGCTCCAGGCTCTGAGCTGGCAGTCAGCACAGAACCCAACGCGGGGCCTGAACCCACAAACCGCAAGATCATGACCTAAGCGAAAGTCGGACGCTCAACCGACTAAGCCACCCAGGCGCCCCCCCGGGCGTTTCAAAGCAAATGTCCACGGTGACGAGGAGAGAAGCACTCTTAACACCGAGGCCAAGCCGGGGGAACAGAAATAGGACCGAGCAGATCGTTCTCAGGTCACGCATTCTCCAGCAGAAAAAGCACACAGCCAGGCCCGTGGCGGAGAATCAGGTTTCCGCAGCGTATCAAATGCTCGCCCGTTGGCCGGGGCTCCTGTGTCCCTTGCTTGAAGAAGTCATTCTGCCACAGTGGTCAGGCATTAGACGGCCCCGCTTTTGCAAATCTGCTCCTTGCACCAGGGTCTGGCCTGAATTTACCACTGCAGGTTAGGGGAAGGGGGGAAAATTCTCGTCACTTCTTCCAGGAAAGGCAGGAGTGAACTCTAGTTAAAGTTTGGGAGCCGGACCATTAATGTCTCATTAGTGACTCTAATCTCTTACAAGCACGGAGAAGCCTCCAGAAAGTCATTGCCTAAGCTGTGAGCTGTAATTGCTGCCATCCTTCCAGGCAGGCAGAAAACAGGCCATGCTCTGTGCCTTCTTGCAAACAAAAGCCCAATTCGTTAATAAGGATTCTTAATTTAGGGCAGGAGAAAACTTCTGGTTATTATTAGGCCACAAATGGAGGCTTGTGTTTCATTTAACTGCCCCACTTAACCAAAAAAAAAAAAACCTTTCCGCTTTGTAAATTAAAGAATTATTTTTAAGTGTTAGAGGCCTCCAGATAACCTTGAGTAAAACCTCTGGCTTTGATGCGCAATCTGCAAATTTAACAAACTGGGGCAGACAATCCCAAAGGCCTTGTCCAGCCCCAACAATCTATGGTTTTGTTCATATCATCACCTACCGCTCCTGCAGGTCCCTTCAAAATCCACGCCTTATGCAGCATTTCGGTGGCTCAGTTGGTTGAGCATCGGACTTTGGCTCAGGTCATGATCTCTCGGTTCATGGGTTCGAGCCCCATGTTGGGCTCTGTGCTGACAGCTCAGAGCCTGAAGCCTGTTTTGGATTCTGTGTCTCCCTCTCTCTCTGCCCCTTCCCTGCTCACACTCTGTCTCTGACTCTCTCTCTCTCTCTCTCAAAAATAATAAACATTTTTAAAAATTCATACCTTAAATCTGTTCTTCCTAACCCTCAGGGTCTTTGAATACTGTTGGGGACCACATTATCTCCTGCCTGCCTGGGATCCCCACCCTAGCCCATCTGTGGGCTAAGAAGTTCAAGGAAAACAGCAAAATCTTTCCTTTGCTATCCACGAGGGGAAAAAAAAAAAAAGATAATCATCTCTATCAGTTCCATATGCTACGTGATTCAGTATCATCCAAGGCCTTCTCCTGGCCAAATTACCAACCCAAATCATCACCTTAGGAGGAAGTTCACGGGTACTGGAGAGGGGCATTCCTGTATTATGGAGGCTTTAAAACCCACACTCATAAAATGTGATAGGAAAATTCATCTTTGAGGTTCATGGCCAACAAAATCTGCAATCTCTCTTTCATGGATGCTTTTAGTGTTCTCTGGAAAGCAGTGAGTTCGTGACCCTGGGGAAAGTATGGGGTTGAGCAACTTCCCTGAATAAAAACAAGAAGTCGGGCCGGGGGGGGCACCTCAGGAGCTGTTGGTTAAGCATCTAATTCTTGATTTTGGCTCAGGCCACGATCCCAGAGTTTATGAGATCGAACGCCTGATCAGGCTCTATGCTGACAGCTTGAAGCCTGCTTGGGATTCCCCCCCACCTCTCTCTCCCTCTCTCTCTCTCCCTCTTTCAAAATAAATAAATAAACTTAAAACAAACAAATGAACAAATAAACAGGAGGTGGGAACTGTGTCTTCCCAGGCTGATGAACCAAACCCCAGGTTCATAAGGGTGGCTCATCCTGGGGTCTCCCCACGACGCCTAGCTACGCACAAAATGAGATTGATTGTATTCAGTTAAAAAATAATAATAAAAGAAAGAAAGTGGTTGAGTTCAGTGCCACCACCAGGTTTTTCTGGGTTTTCCTTTCAGGCATCTGTCTTGGAGGTGGTGTGAGTGACCTCATAATGACCCGATACCCTCTTGGGTTCTCTGTTTGTCTGCGGTCACCATGGAGACGATGTAGGCTGTCCCTAGAGGGCTCTTGTACAGAATTTATTCTCTTTGCTGCTATTTCTTGACCCCAAAGCTATCCACCACTCCGAACACTAATGCTAACTGCCATTAGGAGCCAGAGGAGCCCCTGGTGTGTCAGGAGAGGCCACCACTTGCCCAGCGAGGAGCCAGGAGCCGCGAGGTGGAAAAGTCCCTGCTCTCCGGGGTTCTGTGACCACACCTACAGTCTCTCGCTTCTCACTGCTTTCTGGTTTATCCCAGACATGTCTCTCAAATCTGCTCCCTTTCTGTGTCCTCTGACTCAACGAATGACCCCAATGCCCCCTAATCCCATAGCGAAGTCAGGAGCCTGGGGCTCATCTCTGACTCCTCTCTACTCCTTCCCTCACATTCATTCAACCCCCATCGTTAATCTTCTTGATCCACTTTAGTCTTCAATCTTTTTACTCAGGGATGCCATATAGGGTTGTATAGAATGTGCACTGTCCAATTTAAGGTCTATCATTCACACCGTGGTCTGTGAGACTGGTGTTCCCTAAAGTTGTACAATGGGGAAAAAAGCACTTTCCTTTCCTTTTCTTTCTGCTCCCATTGCCTAAGATCTGATCAACACTTCTACCCGGGAATAGAGTCAGCCCGGTCTGAAGGAGGGCAATACTGGCACCCGATTCACACCTTGCCCCCACCCATCCAGGCTTCACAGAGTCCTTTACCAAAAAGGTGTGTCTTAGCATGTCACCCCTCTGCTTCACACCCTCCACTGGCTCCCATGGTCTTCAAGATAAAACTCAAACCCCCTCGCCAGGGTTAGAAGACATAAAAGGCTTAGCACGATCTGGCCCCTGCCCTTCCTTCTTCAACTGCAAACTATACCTACACAACCACCACAGGCAAGCTTAGATTCCCGCCACGTGAGGTTCTCAGAGCCTCCCACACCACTGCTCACCATCTTGGCAGGTGACAGTTCTTCTTCCTACACCTAGACCCCCGGCCGCCCTCTGTCCCACCTCTGCCCCTTGCTCCATGGTTCATCTACTCCTCTGCATCCCCCAAGGCCCAGCTCACACATCACCTCCTCCAGGCTGTACTCCCTGACCAGGCTTGCCTGAGTCCCTGTGACCCCGACTGGAGTCTAGGTTGACTGCTTCACTACCGGGCCTCTTAGGACCCAAACCGGTGCTCAATAAACCATGCTCTGTTGCGTGCCAGAAAGGGTCTTCCAGGCCCCACTCCTCAGCAGATGACTGAGGAACCTACTGCTGCAACTCTTCCCCCGGGGAGAATCTCTTCGCGGTACCACCACCCCAGGCAGCGCTGGCACCATCTGAAATCTCACCAGCTCAAGCCTGGTCTCTGCCCTGCCTCTGAGCCAGCCCTTCCCTTCACCCCTCTACTCCTACCCCATAGTCTGCACCCCCACTTCACCCCTCCCCGCCACACCAAACAGCAACTCCAGGTGGGGAGCCAAATCCCTGTCATCCTGCAGAGTCACCACCCGCTCCTTGGAAGGTAAAGGGACCCATGTCCTGCCCTGGCCTCTCTCTCCTCCCGAGCTTCCTGACTTCTCAGTGCACTTGTGCTCTCTTGCAGAGTCCTTCCTTTTTTTTTTTTTTTTAATTTTTTTTAATGTTTTATTAATTTCTGAGAGAGAGAGGCAAAGTGAGCAGGGGAGGGTCAGAGAGAGAGGGAGACACAGAATCTGAAACAGGCTCCAGGCTCCGAGCTGGCAGTCAGCACATAGCCCGACGCGGGGCTTGAACCCACAAACCGTGAGATCATGACCTGAGCCGAGGTTGGATGCTTAACCGACTGAGCCACCCAGGTGCCCCTTGCAGAATCCTTCCTGCTCTGTTCAAATGGTGAGAGGGCGAATGCACTGAATGAAGTTCAAGGCCTCGCATTTCCTCCAAACACTCTTCCGTGTCCTCAGTACTGACACCCTTTGCCTCTTGATGAAGCCCACTGGCTCATACTCCCAGAGGCAGCAGACCTTCTTACCCCCAGGAGCAGTCCCTCCTAGAAGAAGCTGAGCAGGGCCGACAGTAGCTCCAGGCTCATCCAAGTGTCCCATTCAGTCTGTTCCTAACTGAGCCTTCGGGGTGGGGACCCTGACACAGGGGTCAGCAGCGGGAAGAATGGATGTGGACCAAGAGCCTCGAATGGCTTCCCAGGGTCCTGCAATAATTCCAGTGATGCTATTTTTTCTAACTGAGACTTGGGAAGTGGCTCAGTGAGCTCCAGAGACAGCCTTGAACTCTAGCACTGAGAGGGGTGCTAGGAACCACTCAGTGCCAGGCTGCAAGGGGGCTCCTCTCTGCTCCTCTCTGCCCAAGATGCCTCACACAGGGACAGCATATCAGCCATTTTGGGGAGAGCAGGTGGTAAGGAGGGGGCCTGGAAGGCTACATCAACCATGGTTAAGTGCTTTATGCACTGGGCTTCTATATACATAACTACTGTTGCTGAGCGCTTACTGTATGCTAAGAACCGTTCTGAGAGCTTTCTCTTTTACCTTAAAAATTTTTTGTTATATTTAATTTCGAGAGAGAAAGAGAGAGCGTGAATAGGGGAGGGGCAGAGAGAGAGGGAGACAGGGGATCCGAAGTGGGCTCGAACCCACAAACAGTGAGATCATGACTGGAGTCAAAGTTGGACATTCAACCAACTGAGCCCCCCAGGTGTCCATGTTCTGAGATCTCTCTGTCTCTTCTCTGGTGATTTCCTCCAGCCAGGCCCCTGTGGAAGGAGTTATTATGAACCTCACCCAACAGATAAAGACACTGAGGCTCAGAGCAGCTGGTACACGAGAGTGCTGGAATTCTCCGTCAGGCTCTCACATCCCAGCTTCCATGCTCTTACCCACCAGGCCCCATTGCACAAGCTCAGGGCTGCAGAAAGACTCTGCGGCTACTAATCTTTCCAGGAAGTGCTAATCAAAACCGTAATAAGAGACCACTTTCCACCTGTTAGGATGCCTATGATCAAAAATAAAAACAGAAATTGGGGCACCTGGGTGGCTCATGCAGTTGAGCCTCTGACTTTGGCTCAGGTTATGATCTCACAGTTCATGAGTTGGAGCCCTGCATCAGACTCTGTGCTGACAGCTCAGAGCCTGGAAGCTGCTTCAGATTCTTTGTCTCCCTCTCTCTCTCCCCTTCCCCCATTTGCACTCTGTGTCTCTCTCTCTCATAAATTGTGAGCAGGGGAGGGTCAGAGAGAGAGGGAGACACAGATTCTGAAACAGGCTCCAGGCTCTGAGCTAGCTGTCAGCACATAGCCCGACGCAGGGCTTGAACCCACGAACCATGAGATCATGACCTGAACCGAAGTCGGATGCTTAAAATACGTCATAAGCCCCTCCCAGCATTGTGAGGATGTGGAGACTTTGGAACCCTTGTGCACCGCAGGTGACAATGCGACATGGTCCAGCCACTATGGAAAACAATATGGCAGCTCCTCAAAAAAGTAAACACAGCATCACCATTTGGTCCAGCGGTGCCCCTTCCAGGAACACGCTCAAGAGAATGGAAAGCAGAGACTCACAGAGACACGTGTGCACCCACGCCCACAGCAGCATTATTCATACAGCCAGAAGGTAGAAGCAACCTAAGTATTTGTGGATGGATGAATGGATAAACAAACTGTGGTATGTCCATACAATGGCATATTATTCAACCCGAAGGAGGAAAGAAATTCTGGGACGTGCTACAACATGGATGAACCTTGAAGGCGTCAAGCACAGTGAAATAAGCCAGACACAAAAGGACAATTACTGTACGATCCCACTTACATGAGGTAACTCACAGAGACAGAAGGTAGAATGGCAGCTGCCAGGG